ACCGAGACATCCTTTTACTGAAGAGGCAGGCAGCTGAGGAGGGGGCAGTGACTTCATCCTGGCTGGGACACCCAAGGGTCCCTCCCAGGCAGACACTGCACCAACTTGTCATTTGTAAAAGGGCTCACTCGAGGACCTTGGGGGGTCTGGCCAGTTTCTTTGTCTTTCTGTTGAGTAGAAAAGCTTGGAGAAGCCAGCCGCCCTGCTTCCTGCCACCTGCCTGCCTTCTCCCACTCCTCGAGTCCTCCTGGGCGCCCCCTGCCGTGGGTGGCCCGCCAGGTTCCCACAGTGTCTCTTGGGGTGGTGTGAAGGGGGGAGGGTTCGGCTCATCCTCCCATGCCAGCCTTCAGTGAACAGAGGGCTCATGCACCAGACACATTAGGTAATTTTGGCAATTCTAGGGACCTTCCGAACCAGATGCAGCCCACAAGGTGTTTCTAACTTTTTAGAACTCATTGGCGAACCCAGGGCCTTCACCCAGAAAAATACACCCTTTCACAGACATCCAAACCTTGGCCAGAGTTTTAGAGAGGCTCCTGGTTCTTTGGGAATCTCTGAGGGTTCCAGGGACCCCAGCTTTGGGCCTAGTTGCAGTGGGGGAGGGGAAGGTATACCTGGGAAGGGGTGGAGTCTCTCGTCTCCCAGCCCCCCCCCCCCCCAGTCCCACCCGAACTGCAGAAACCAGCTGCCCCCTTCTATGGAATCTCAGGCAGGCCACTCTGTCCTGTTTCTTCTGAGGTCACAGGAAGGGTCAGACACCCACCGTGCCTGGGTCCTGAGCTCTGTGGCCCCTCAAGGGCAGGGCTTGGCTGACTCCCTTCCCAGAAGGCTCGTCAAGAGGGAACTTGGCACATCCCACCACCCTCTGCCCCCCCCAGATGGCACTGACTTCATCTCTGCTCCCTTCCTGACTTTGTGACCTTGGGCAAGGTGCTAAACCTCTCTGAGCCTTGTCTCCCATCTGTAAAATGGGAGCGGGAATGCCGCCTGCCTCACTTAGTGGCCACGGAGGTTAAACATGATAATTCTGATAAAGAGCCCAACAAGCCCACAGTAAGCGCCATGGGCACGTTAAGGTGATGGGCCACGGGAAGGCCCTCCACCTCTCTCCCTCCCAGAAGCCACCTGTACCCATCCCCCCAACCCCTCCCTGCCCAGGGCACCTTAGGACGAGGCTGCCAGGCAAGGAGGAGCATGGCCGACACACGGCTGAATTTGGCCTATGCGTCGGGCGGCTGAGTCACATCCCCAAATTGTATCTTCGTAAGTGCGTTTCGGAAGGTCGTTTGCAACACCCCCACCCCCTCGAGGCTCCGTCTGCCAGGCCACTCGCCTCTCCTGCCCGTGCCCCCGAGCCCTGGGTGAGGACCCCCTGCACTTTCAGGAGGGATGGTAGGAGCGATGCCTGGGGTTTCCTCACCTCCTGGGAGAGAGCAGGGTCTGCGATCGCTGTGTGTCTCCTGGTGACAGGCTCCCGGCCCCACCTGCCAGCTGATGGCCCTTCAGGTGGCGAGCAGGGGCCCTCGCCTGGGAGTAGCAAGGCCCCTGAGTGTTCGTGAAGGTAGAGAGAGAGATCCGGGGCCAAGGTCAGCCTTATAAGCCGTGAAGTACGGGGCGTGCAGGAGACCAGCTCATATAAACCGTGAAGTGCTAAGCCCGTGTGAGGCCAGGACTTCTAAACCAACGTCTCAGGCCACAGGTGGCCACGGCCTGGTTGAGGTAATGGATGGAGGGGCGAGGGAAGGGACATGTTCTAATACTCATGAGGTCGCTCTCCCACGAAAGGAAGGTTTCTTGTGCCCCTACTGTGCGCGGGCACCAGCATCTGGGGACATGCGGTGAGTGGGACAGACACTGTGTGGGGGGTGCCCGACAAGGTGTCCTCTTGGCATGTCTTTATGTGACAGTTTCCGTGTCTGTCACCCCCCCTCCCCCCTCCACCACCAGAGTGTGGTTGCAGGGCCGCAGAGGCATCCTGTCTGTGCGCACAGCCCTCTCTCCCGGGCCTGGTCCACAGGGGCCCGCCGTGCATGCCAGGCTGGCCTTTTCAAAGGGGGTCAGCACTTGGCCGCTGCCTGTCGCTGCCCCACTTATTCCTGCTGAGAGAATCTTACAAAGCAGCCCGGTCCAGGATCTGCCCTAGAAGGACATGGCGCCTTCACGGCACAGCGCCTCAGTTTCCCCACCGGTAAAACTGGCCAAATCCCAGCACCCCTTCTTGGGGGGTATTGTCAAGGATCAAGGAGCAAATTTGTGTGAAGGACGTAGCCTGGCGTGTTGTAGACGTTCGCTAAACATCAGCTCGTAGTGGCAACGGGGGGTACACAGGAGGGAGGGAGAGATGGTGGGTTGGGGTGGGACAGGGGAGGGTCTAGCAAGTTGGGACCCAGAAGGTGCGACTCCAGGCAGCCTCATCTTGTATGGGTCACTGTCCTCAAGGTCTTCGCTCTCGAACATGATCCCAGAGGACACTGCCCTACACAAGGGCAGAATCCCAGGATGTCGGGGCGGTCAGACAGTCTGCTGCTCTCTGGTGGCCTGGTGGGGAAACTGAGGCTGACCCGGGGTCACAGGGCCAGGCTGAGCACATCTCACAAGGCCCTACAGAATCAACTCTGGGATCTTAGAGGTAAATACCGGGTTGCCACGTTGATCCCGGAGTCTCTTTGGAGATCACAAACCTCCTTCCACGCAGGCAGGAGGGGGCTGGGGGTCTCTGCAGCCACAGTCACGGTCCTCGTGTCCCCACACTGATACCCCACGCTTGCGTGTGTTCAGGCCTTCAGACAGCTCTAGGGGAGGAATTGGAGGCCCAGCAGGGTGAGCTTGACTTGCCCGAGAACCTGAAGGTCAGAAGGAGACGAGCCCAGGTTGGAACCACCTCCTGACCACACACACGGCCTCTGGTCCTCCCAGGCAAACCTGCCAGCACATTCTGTCTCCAGACATTCCCAAGTGTTTACTGAGTGTCAGCTGAGTGCTCGGCATTGTTCTAGGTACTTGGAGACAGAAAACCAGTGGGCAAAGGTTCAATAAGAGGGTGTTACAGGCAGAGGGCCCAGCAGGTGCAAAGGCCCCAGGCTGGACCAGGCTGGTCAGGATCTGGTGATGGGGATGCTTATGTGGCTGGAAGAGAATGACTCTGGAAGAGTGAGAGGGTTGAGGTGGGTAGGAGCCAGACCACAGAGGGCCTCCTGGCCACAGTGGGGTCTTTGGTTTTTGTGCAGCAGCACTGGGGAACCATGGGAGGGTTTTGAGCAGGAGAGGAATATAGGCTGACTTGGGTATTTCTTGGATGGCCAACCCACGTGTCAGTCACGTGTCTGGGTTCAGGGCTTCCTGAGCCTCAGAATGTCTTGGGGTGGTGACAGGGGTCCCTGCCCTCTGGTCGGTTGGCACGGCCCTTCCCTGACTGTGTCCCTCATGCCCCACAGGTCGGCACAGGAGCCCGGTCACTGAGCCATGCTGGGCCCCGGGTGGCCTACAGCGAGCCCAACCCCGGCACCCACATAGTCATGAACAGCCACAGCCACAATGGCTGTGGGGGGCGGCCGCTGGGCAGCGGGCTGGGTGCCCTGGGCAGAGACCCTTCGGAGCCCGAGGCCGGCCACCCCCCCCAGCCCCCACATGGCCCGGGCCTCCAGGTGGTGGTGGCCAAGAGCGAGCCAGCCCGGCCCTCACCCGGCAGTCCCCGGGGGCAGCCCCAGGACCAAGAAGAGGAGGAAGACGATGAAGAGGATGAGGCAGGCAGGAGGAGGGACTTGGGGAAGACCCCAAACGTGGGCCACCGCCTGGGCCACCGGCGGGCGCTCTTCGAGAAGCGGAAGCGCCTCAGCGACTACGCCCTCATCTTCGGCATGTTTGGCATTGTCGTCATGGTGACCGAGACGGAGCTGTCCTGGGGGGTCTACACCAAGGTAGGCATGGCCTTTCCCCTTGGCCCAGGGAGGGCCCTGTGGACCTACTTGGCTCCTCACTGCCCCTGGGGCGTGGGGTCAGGGACCATATTGGCCCCAGGAGGAGCAGGTGGAAGATGCTGGAGGAGGGGAGGGGGCGGGGGTCCTGGAGGCAGGGCAGGGGGTGGGTACTGGGCCTCCCAATGTGTCTACCTTCTGGGGGTTGCAGGCAGGCTGTACGTGGGGGAGTTAGGCTCCAGCCCATTCCTTCTGCCCTGCACCAAGAGGCCACACCCTGGCTTAAGGGAGGTGGGGGGTGGCGGCTGCCCCCCAGTCCAGGCCTAGGACAAGAGAGCCCCAGCGAAGGCCTGGGCCTCAGAGCCCGGAAAGAGCTTCTCCTCCTGAGAGTGATCGGGTTGGGCTGCGGCTATGGCTGCACGCCCCCTCGTGCCACCCAAGGGTGTGTGAGGACAGAGAGAGAGATCGGGGCACGTCCGCCGGTAGACTGTGAAATGCCGCCGGTGGATGCGGCGAGGCCTTCTAAACGGTGAAGTACCTACGTGAGGCCAGGCCTTATCGGCTGTGACATGCTGGGCCTTTAGGAGGCCAGGCCTTATCAACTCTGAAGTAATAGTCCCGTGTTGCCATCGACCCAGGCCTAAGGAGAAAGGACAGGAGCATTCCTTCCTGAGGGGGGAGCCCAGGTGGGGGGGGGGGCAGGGGGGCCACCCCCCCCCCAGCGCCCTTGTCCTCCTGCCCTTCTCTCTCCGCCCAGGAGTCCCTGTACTCGTTTGCACTGAAATGCCTCATCAGCCTCTCCACGGTCATCCTGCTGGGCCTGGTGGTCCTCTACCACGCCAGGGAGATCCAGGTCAGTGGCGGGCTGGCCAGGGCAGTTCCCCTCTCCGGGCCCCCAGAGACCCTCCCCGTACCAGGCACCTGGGACCCCAGCCCCCTAAAACCTGAAAGGACCAGTAGCCTCTTTATAGGAAAAAAAAAAAAAAAAAAAAAAAAAGACCTCTCTGAAGGCATGCCCTTTAGATCACTCTAAATTTCTTTAGTATACTTGTCTATGTTTTATTTTTCATTGGTTATTTGGGAGGGTAGGGGTGGGGGGGCGGAGAGGACAACGAGGGAGCCAGAGGTGAGCTGGGGTCTGGCACACATAAGTCATCTTCGCAGCCCTGGGGGCCTTCCGAGGTTTCGCAGCCTTGGAAGCCGACCCCAGCCTTCTGTTCCTATTCGGTTAGACCCTGCATTTGAAAGATTTATTACATGCCAGGGAGGCTGTTCTCCTGTTTCGGGAGTTCACTGAAACCTCGATGGACCCCGGAGAGCCCAGCTCAGGGCGTGCTGTCACAGCCTGTCACAGCAGGCAGATGTCACCTGGGGTCGGCACCGGGGCCTGGGGATGCCAGAGGGTGTCAGATCTGGCTCCCGACTCTGGCCCCTGATCCCTGGCCTGAAGGAGCCGTGGTCTGACGGGAGGTGGGTGGAGGAAAATCCTGCCTGGGTTGAACCACCTGCAGAGATCCCTGGGGACATCCAAGAGAAATGAAAACCTACACCGCCTGCATCCACACGCAACTCGTATACGTAGGCACCTAGCAGCCCTATTCGCGGGTACCACAAAGTGGAAACAACCCAGATCCCCGGTGTATGGACCAACAAAATGTCGTGTGCCCCCCAGTGGGATGTGGTTCACCCACTAAAAAACCGAAGCACTGTGTGAGGGTGCTCCCGGCTGCTTTAACAGAGCACCACAGCCGAGGGGCTGAAACGGCAGGCTGGGGCGCCTGGGTGGCGCAGTCGGTTAAGCGTCCGACTTCAGCCAGGTCACGATCTCGCGGTCCGCGGGTTCGAGCCCCGCGTCGGGCTCTGGGCTGAGGGCTCGGAGCCTGGAGCCTGTTTCCGATTCTGTGTCTCCCTCTCTCTCTGCCCCTCCCCCGTTCATGCTCTGTCTCTCTCTGTCCCCAAAATAAATAAACGTTGAAAAAAAAAAATTACAAAAAAAAAAAAAAAAAGAAACGGCAGGAAATGTGTTCTCACGGTGCTGGGGCTGGAAGTCCAAGATCAGGTGCTGGCAGGGTCGGTTTCTGCTGAGGCCCCTTTCCTCCACTTGCAGACGGCTGCCTTCTCCCCCTGTGTCCTCTTGGCTTCCTCTGTGTGCGCGCATCCCTGGAGGCACCTCTTCTTACGAGGACACCGGTCCTGTGGGAGCAGGGTTCCACCCTTATGACCTCATTTAATCTTAATTACTTCCTTGATTTTTTTCATGTTTATTTATTTATTTTGAGAGAAAGAGAGAGAGAGAGAGGGTGAACAAGAGAGGGGCAGAGAGGGAGAGAGAGAATCCCAAGCAGGCCCTACGCTGTCGGAGCAGAGCCTGATGGGGGCTCCAACCCGCGAACGGTGAGATCATGACCTGGGCTGAAATCGAGAGTCAGACGCTTAACTGACTGAGCCACCCACGTGCCCCTAACCTTAATTACTCCGTTAAAGACCCTCTCTCCAGGGACACCTGGGTGGCTCAGTTGGTTCAATGTCTGACTCTTGATTTCAGCTCAGGTCGCGATCTCAGGGTCGTGAGTTCGAGCCCCACACTGGGCATGGAGCCTGCTTAAAAAAAAAAAAAAACGCGGCGGGGGAGGGGGTGTCTCTCTCCAAATACAGTCACAATGGGAGTTAAGGCTTCAATTTATGAGTTTTGAGGGGACACAAGTCAGTCCAGAACATTTCAGCCTCGGGCCCATCCCCCAAATTCATGTCCTCCTCCCACGCAAAATGCATTCACAACTTCCCACCTGCCCCAAAGTCTTAAGGCATTCCGGCACCAACTCCCAAGTTCCATGTATCACTTAAGTATCAGATACAGGTGAGACTGAGGCGCCACTCCAGCCGAGAGCCGGACAAATCACCCAAGATGTAGGGGTGGGACAGGCGTAGGATAGGCCTTCCTATTCCAGAAGGGAAATCTGAAGGAAAGAAAGTTGGTAGATGCTGAGCAAGTCAAAGAGCTCCCAAGGCAAATTCTCTGCGTTCTGAATGCTCAGTGCCGCGGTTTCCGGGCCCACTGGGGTGGCACCGTTGTCCCCTCGGCTCTGGGTGGCGGCCTTTGGTGCCTGTGTTCTTCGACTCAGCATGTTTTCGAGGTTCTGCCACATGGCAGCGTGTATCAGAGCCCCTTCCTCTTGACGGCCGAATAATATCCCGTTGTTTGGAAGGATCCCATTCATTCATTGACGGACACTTGGGTGGTTTCCGCGTTGGGTAGTTGTTCGCGTGCAAGGATTTGCCCCAATGCCGGTTTTGTTTTGGTTTCTGTGTTTTTTGTTTTTTTTTCCGATGCTCGGTTTCATTTCTCTTGCATGTGTCCCCGGGGACGAGATTGCTAGGCCCTTGGTAACCCCGTGTTTTCTTCCACATTTAATTTGAATCGTGGCTGACCCCGAGAGCTAGGGAGTTTCGCGTCAGAGGCTGTGTTTCTCATAAAAGCCAAGCCAGGGGTTCGAGGGCTGGGGGGGGGAGGGGGGTCCTCCCGGAGGGGGACACGGGCGCGAGTCTGACACCCACCGCCGCCTGTCCCCCCTCCCCCGCCCCGCCCCCCCGCAGCTGTTCATGGTGGACAACGGGGCGGATGACTGGCGCATCGCCATGACATGTGAGCGCGTCTTCCTCATCTCTCTGGAGCTGGCCGTGTGCGCCATCCACCCGGTGCCGGGTCACTACCGCTTCACGTGGACGGCGCGGCTGGCCTTCACGTACGCGCCGTCGGCAGCCGAGGCTGACGTGGACGTGCTGCTGTCTGTCCCCATGTTCCTGCGCCTCTACCTGTTGGGCCGCGTCATGCTGCTGCACAGCAAGATATTCACAGATGCCTCCAGCCGCAGCATCGGCGCCCTCAACAAGGTCACCTTCAACACACGCTTTGTCATGAAGACACTCATGACCATCTGCCCGGGCACCGTGCTGCTCGTCTTCAGCATCTCCTCCTGGATCGTCGCCGCCTGGACGGTGCGGGTCTGTGAGAGGTACGCCCCCGGCCCCGGGGCCCACCGTGCCCTCCCGCAGCTCCGGGGACCCAGGGCTCCCCTGGCCATCACAGCCCCTGACCCACATGATCCCCCCCCCCCCAGTTCCTGGCCTCAGTGACCATCCTTCAAGCGTGGCCCCCTCATCCCTGGGACTCCAGCCTGTGTATCCTGTCCCCTACCCCAAACGACACCCCCCTGGGACCCCAGGCCTCTCCCCCAGGGTGGGGTGGGGGCAGGTCTCATGCTCGTCTTTCTCCCAGCTCTTCCGCTGCGAGCAGCTAACCTATGACCTCTGGCCCAGGGCAGTGGAGGCAGCAGGAACAGGATGCCCCCCGCCCCCCATCTGCCTGTTTCCCCCACAATTTAACCAGCTCTCCTTCTTCCCTCCGCCCGCCCCACCGGACTGTAGGGAAAACATGTGAGTCCTACCCTTGACCAAGCTGTGTGCACAGAACCGCTGCCGTCCTGTCCGCCAGGAATTTAAGATTAGCTGCCGCAAGGTGGGGGGGGCGGGGGGGGGCGGTGCGTTGGTGCACAGGGAGGTGAGGCGGGGCCGGGGCAGGCAAGTTCGGAGTCAGGCCCAGGACTGTTCTCAGGCCGTGTCCACTGGGCATCCTGGAGGTCCTTGTCTCCGAGGTTGGGGAGGGTTTTGTCTGGACAGCTGACCCTGGGGGACTTGGACAGCCCCTCCGGAGAGTTAGGTGGGTCTGGAGTAAATAAAAACTGGCCCAGCCTTTAGTACCTCTCTCTGCATGGGGTTTGTTCTCAACAGCCCTGGAAGGTGCAGGCCATTCACCCAACTTACAGATGGGGGAAGGGAGGCTCTGGGGCAAAGGAACATTCCTGAGGGCCTGATTCCTGGTCGGCCCTGAGACCCACGGGGTGCTTCGGGAGAGGGAGGGTCTGCACTGGGCCTGTCGGGACGTGGGGGTGCCTTGGCTGGGAAAGGGCCTCTCCTACCTCATGCTTTGCTGGGGAAGGCCCTGGAAGGGTGTATGGCAGGTGGGGCTGAGACTGGGCTTCCTGGGGGTCCCTGGGCTGGACTTGTCCCCCCAGGACCCCAGTCTTCACCCCTTAATCTCCTCCATGGCGCCTGCCTCAGCCTGATGTGGGGCTCATGGGGGCGAGGGCCCAGCGCTTCTCGTCCTCGAGGCTTACCGTCTTGGGACCAGACGGGGTCTCCTTGGACCCCTGCTTGGATCCCTATGCCAGTTCCCACAGCCCATCCCCTACCCTGTCACGGCGGGGTCAGGACTGTGGTCTGGGGAGCGAGAGTGGGGCTCCCCTCCTCGGCATCCTTGAGGTGCAGTCTAGGTCATCGCAGGGGTCCCCAGGTTGGGGCAGGGAACGGGGCAGGACCAGGGGGGGCAGCCAATCCTAAATTCTGAGCCCTATGATGCTGCTTGAAGCCCCCTCGCCTGCCTCGCTCCACCCCTGCGGCTCTGTCCCACCCCCACCCTGCCTCCCGCATGTCCCCCACTCTGTGGTCCTAGGTAGTCCTGGGGGGGTCCTGCAGCACCCACCACAGCTCCAGCCAGGCCCCGGGCTCCCCCACCCGCTGCTGGAGGGCCTCCCTCTCGTCTTACTTGCTGGTTTACCGGGAGACAGAAGCCAGGGTAACTTGGGGCTCAGATGCCTCGGTGGGATTCGGTCCCAGGTCCCCCGCACCCAGCAAGCAGACTGGCAGCCCAGGAGGAGGGGCCGACAGGGACCCCCAAACACCACACCTGCCGAGAAGGTCTCCAGCCTTCCCATCCTCCTTTGGGGGCTTCTATGGCCTCCTCTTGAGCCCCTGACTCCAGCCCTGTCTGTCTGGAGCAGCCCTCCCCCCAGCTTCCCCTGTCCTGCCCCTGCCAGCGTCCCCCCTCCTCTGCGCCACCTCAGTTGACCTCTCACCTTGAGTCCCCTCAGGGCCTGAGGCCTGGGAAAGAGTGGGTCATCAGGAAAGGGCTCCCTGAGCTGGAGGGGCTTCACAGGCTGGGGAACCTCGAGCTAAACCCCTCTGACCCCCAGCCTGGGCTGACCGTAGGTAGGACGTGTTTGTAGCCCACGTGACCGGGTTCGCAGGGCTGGCCATGGCCGGGGACGAATTCATGTCCCTTGGGGCCCGCCCCCCCATACCAAAAAGTTAACCGCCAGCCTCCCCCCAGTGCCAAGCTGCCGCCTCCTTCCCCAACTCCCAAACGAACCCTAAGCCTGGGATTTGGGGACCATTGGTGCTGCCCCACACATACTGACTTCCCTTTTGCTCCCAAGTCCTGGAACACTGCAGCCACCCGTGTCCCCCAGGGGCCCTCTCCCCCTGCCCCCTCAACCTCACGGAGCCCTGCTGGCTGGGGAAGTTCTTCCCGATGTCTCACCTGAATCCTCACCTCCACTCCTTGCCGCTTCTGGCGCCCGTGGCCACCTGTGTCTGCGTCTGTCTGTGCGTCTGTCTTTGGGAGGGGGATCGCGTGGACACAGTGGACGTACCCTCACCCGGACCCCTCTGCCCCCGGACCGGGGCCAGGGAGGGCACACATCCTGGGCGGCAGCTTGGGGTGGGGGTGAAGGGAGAATGGGGGAAGGGATCCTGGGAGGAGAGTGCGGGTGCCCTCCGCCCGACGGTACCCTTGGGAGGATGCTGACCATCCCCTCTCCCTGCAGCGGTACCTTTTGGAGCCCTCAAAGTGGTCCGCTGCTTGTAGTCAGGGTCCCCACCCAGCCGGGTGGACCCAGGGCACCAGAGGGAATGATGAAGGCAGAGAGACCAGTGTGGACTGACTGGGCCTTCCCCGGCTCCCCTCAGGTACCATGACAAGCAGGAAGTGACCAGCAACTTTTTGGGGGCCATGTGGCTCATCTCCATCACCTTCCTCTCCATCGGCTATGGCGACATGGTGCCCCACACCTACTGCGGGAAGGGCGTGTGCCTGCTCACTGGCATCATGGTAAGGGCGGGGGCCCTTGCACACCCCCTACGGATGGGGAGCTCACTCCATTGTGAACCGTAATGCATCAGCCTGCCCTGCTCCTTCACCCCCCCCCCTCCTCCTCCTTACCCCGGCCGTGACTCAGAAATCTGCACCCTTGGGCTTCCTGGGGGGCATCTCTTCTTGGCTTCTTCCAGCCCTAGGTATGTATGTAACTCCTGTGGTCCCCGCAGGGCTGGATGCTGTGGTCCGCTGTTAGCCCGGCGTTTGTCTGCCCTTTTATTCTCTGAAGCCTGCTTACTTCACAGCCCTGGGGTCCGGGGCTAGGGACTTGATGCTTCCATGCCTCAGTTTCCCCAGCTATAACCGGTGCCCATCTCCTCCGTTCATCGTGAAGCTCAAGTCTGTCCCTTTTGATTTATTTATGTCTTTTTAAATTTTTTAAAAGTTTCCCTTTATTTTTGAGAGAGACAGAGACAGAGCACGAGCAGGGGAGGGGCGGAGAGAGAGGGAGACACAGAATCCGAAGCAGGCTCCGGGCTCGGAGCTGCCGGCACAGAGCCCGACGTGGGGCTCAAACGCACAAACCGCAAGATCACGACCTGAGCCGTGGTCAGACACTCAACCGATTGAGCCGCCCAGGCGCCCCTCAAGTCTGTTCCTTTATGTGAAACGCCTAGAACGGTGAATGCTGTGGACACCCAGTCAACACCCTCTGGGTTGTGCCGTCACGGCTCCCTTCCCCATCCTTGCCTGATTCTTGGGACATCCCAAGCACCCCGCTGAACCCCCATGCTGTGCAGCTTGTCTCCTGTGACTCGTTGGGCCCTGACAGCACCCCTTCTCCCCCAAAGACTTCTCAAGTCTGTCGGTGGGTGTGGGCAGCCTTTGACACCCAGCACCTTCTTTCCCTGGTCCCGTCTTCGGTTTTGCTGTTCATCCCCTTCTGGAACCTTCTGGAACCTTCTTTCTCCAAGCTTCCACCTCCTTCACAAATGCTCTTCCGTGTTTTGGGTTGCAGATTATCGGATGCGTGATAGGGAACTCCTCTCCTCAGTCCCCAGTTAATAACCTGTTCATTTGTGAAGAACAGTGAGCATCGGTGGGACCAAAGTAGCACCAAAGAAGCTGACTTAATCCCACCCCCCAGGTTCCACGCCAGGCCACTCCTCCTCCGTTCTTGCAAACATAGGGCACGATCCCCACAAGAGTTTCCTTTTCTCCCGCCGACGGAAGGAGCATCTTGCGGTGCCTCTGCCCACCCTGTTTCGCTGCTTGCAGACCGTGGTCAGTTGTCACTATGTCCCGAGGCCCACGGCTCTGTCCCCATTTCTCCTCACCCTCTCTAAGCTGTTTGAGCAGAAGCTGGGGGCTCCACGTCCTCCTCGGGCCCCCACCGGGGCCTCCCTCCTCCTGGCTGCGCTGACGCGGCCCCGCCTTGTGAAATGGCACCACGCCTGTTTGCCTGTGTTACTTTGCAAGAGGCGAAGGGGGAAAAACTAAAGGTGGGCCACAGTCCAACCCCCACTACAAGCAAACGAACTTTACAAAAGAACCAAAAAAGGACTCAGGTAAGGCGAGCTCAAACCCGGAAAGCCCAAGACAAAATGGAAACGCCGAGTTCCGTTCTTTGGGACATGGCTCCTTCTGGAAAATGAGTTCCATGTGTGGCCACGTCTCCGCCCTCGCTGCTGGCACACGCACGGGTGGTCACGCTTGGGCTGGTTTCTAGCTCTCCTCTTGGCTCTCTCTGCCAACCTTGCCCAAGCGTGTCCGCTCCCGGTCACTGCCCTGTCCGGGATCTCACCAGCCATGCGTCTGTCTGTTCTTGAACTTCAGGGCATCCCAGTGTGGCCCCCTCTGAGCCTGGCGTCTTTTGCTGGGCGTGGTCTCCATGCTGTTTTGCGGAGCCACCAGATGTCTTTTTTTTCTTTTCTGCGTCGTATTCCACCTGGCGGGTTTTGTTTCGTTTTGTTTCGTTTGTTTGTTTGGTGTGTTTTTTTGCCCCAGTTGACAGGGCTTCTTCTGAGAACAGGCTCCAGGAACCCATGTCAGGGTTTTCTCAGAAGGCGACCTTGTGCCCATGTCGCCCTGGCGGGGCATGTGGGGACCCAGACCGATGGTGGCCCTGGCCCTGGCCCACCCCTCCCCATAGATGTTTCCTTCCATCCCTAAGAAGAACTGAGCATCCCTGGCCAAGCGTCCCAGGCCGAACTCTCCCTTCTTCCTTCTTGGAGGTCGTGGCCTCAGGAGCGAGCAGCTTGCAGGAAAGCATCAGAAACAGCCCTCAGTGCAGGCGGGGAACTGCCTCCCCCCTTCACACCTGCTCCCGCCACCTGCCTTGAACACCTGCTGGCCCCCCTCACCTGCTCCTGTCACCGGCCTCGGGCACTTCTGGGGCTGATGGCACTCCTGGGGGCTCTAGGCTGGCCCCTGGCCCCTGCTCCTCGGTGGCAGACCCTCTCCCTCCCTCCCACGTCACTTTTTGCTGCCCCCCTCCCCCTGTCTGCCCTCTCCTCTCCTTGGGTCCTCGCTCCTGCTCTTTTCTCTCTCTTTCTCTCTCTCCTAGGCTGCTCCCAGTAGACATACAAGTCCTCTCTGACCTCCTTCACTAGCCAGGAGATCTGCCATTTAGGGCATCCTGGGGAGTGTGATTGCATCAGGCGGGGAGGCCACCATCCTCCCCTCCGCTCCCCACCTCCGCTCTGCTCCCACCACAGGCAGCCAGCCTGACCCTTCACTCACGCTGCCTTCTCACCCTGCCAACTGACCCCTCCCATGACTGTAGAAAGACGTGTTGTCTGGGTCTCTGCCCTCAACGCCCAGACCCCAGCGCCTTGAGGGAAATGCTTCCAAATCCTCCCTCCTCCATGTTCCGAACGTACCTGCAGATCCTGCCCTTTTCTTCTCCCTTTCTTCTCTCCAAGCCTCAGTTTCCCTCTCTGTCTAGTGGGGATAAGAGTGGTATTACCTCCCAGGGCTGTTGGGGATCGGATGAGCTCATCAGTGGGACACAGTCCCCAGACATTCAACCGATATTAAGCAGGTGGGGCTGGGAGTCAGTGAGCTCAGCAGGTGGGACCTGCCAACACTGTGGGCTTAGAAGGTAAAGGTGAGGGTGGAATCAGGGCAGGCTTCCTGGAGGAGGGAGGGTGTCCTGCCTGTGACCCGGGACCTACATGGGGCAGGACACTGATGTGTTCCCCACCCTCCGCATGCAGGGGGCCGGCTGCACAGCACTTGTGGTGGCCGTGGTGGCCCGGAAACTGGAGCTCACCAAGGCAGAGAAACACGTGCACAACTTCATGATGGACACTCAGCTCACCAAGCGGGTAAAGACCTCCATCACAGCCACGTCCTCTTCTCGGTCATCAAGGGCAGACCCTCCCCCACCTTACTTCTGTACGTGCCAGGCATGTGCACATGCCCACCGGTCACTGCCCTGCCTTGTGCTCTGCTGCCCATGTGAATGTGCATGAACCATGCACAGAGACGTGGCAGTGGCCCCAGGCGCCCACCTGTGTGCCTAGTCATAGCCCCACCCTGAGCCACACAGCAAGAGGCAGACATTTGGGGGCCAGGCAGCCGGGTACAACTTAAAAGCTGTCTGACCTCGGCAGGTCGACCGCCCTGTGCCTCAGTTTCCCCATGTGTAAAGTGAGAGAAATGCCAGCGTGTGTAGATTCACTGATATAACATCTGCAAGGTGTATAGAAAGGGTCTGACCCACGCTGAATGATACAAATGAAGTGCGCACACACATACACACACACACAGACCCACACAGTGCAGGTGTGGCCACGTAAACATGTCCTTGCCTTACGGTCCCAGGATCCCAGAGGGGCATTTCCAGGAGTTTCTAAAAGTTTCTGGAGGTTTCCGGAAGTTTCCAGAGCCTTCCACAGTTTCGTGCCTGCCTTGAGGAACTGTTCTTTTTCTGGCCCCAGGTAAAAAATGCCGCTGCTAACGTTCTCAGGGAGACGTGGCTCATCTACAAACACACTAGGCTGGTGAAGAAGCCAGACCACGCCCGGGTTCGGAAACACCAGCGTAAGTTCCTCCAAGCCATCCATCAGTAAGTCCAGCACCTTTCCCGCTCACGTTTCTGTGTCCACCTGGTGCGGAGGCAACTGTGGTCCTCGGGAGGAGGCTACAGGCCAGGCCAGACAGCTCAGCATGGCCTCATCATGGCCCCTCCCATGCCGGGTGGTCAGTTGGTTGGGGCTTGCAGTGTCTGTGCTGGGTGGGATGGTCAGAAGGAGGCAGGTGATGGGTCCAGCACTTGTCCAGGGCGATCACCTTGGATAAGTCATGCAACCCACCCCAAATAAATGGCAAGAAGCATATTGTATTCTCCAGAATAGCCAAAATTGTTTTACCTTTTAGATGAGAAGCCATTTCCCTTTTTTGCTTTGGCTGCCAGGAAGCTCCGAATTAAATTTGTGTCCTGATCCATGTGATCATGTGGGGTAACTAGAAATTCCTTGATTCCCTCTGTTGTCCCTTTGTCCTGAGAATTATTTAGTCAAGTAGTTCTCCACCTTGGCTGCTCACTGGAATCCCCCACGGGGCTTTAAAAGGCCCACAGGCTGCACCCAACACGGCAGAGTCTGGGATGCACCGTGAGCTTTTAAGTTTAAGTTCCTCGGGTGAGTCCAGTGTGCAGCCAGAGTTGGCAAACTTTTCCTATAAAGGGCCGGAGGGTAAATATTTCAGGTTTTGTGGACCAGACGGTCTGTCACAACTACTCTACTCTGCCACTGTCGCAGGAACGCAGTGAAGAGGAGTGGGTGGACTATCCTCTAATAAAACCTTATTTTCCCAAAACAGGTAGCTGGCCAGATTTGGGCTGGGCCAGGCTATCATATGC